TTTTTTTTGTGAGAAAAGACTTTCCTAGTTTCATGGGTATGCAGCGAGGATGATAATTATTACCTTTCAATATTGTTTTTCCATCGACCTGTTTTCAATGTTTCCTTTCCATTCCAAGGTTTCGCTCGGACCTATTCCAATCTTTTAGCCGTGAAGCTTTTTATCTCCTCTTAGATACGGCCGGAGAACAAAAGAGGGACGGGCGGAGAGCGCACAGTATACTGGGATATCATATGCGGGATGGTCGTTTGAACTTTTGGAATCCAAGTTCACTATTGATTCATTTACCTTGCTTTTCTTTTTTTTTTTTTTTCTCTAATGTCTTTTTTATCCAAAGTCACGCCCGTGTTGCACTGCCGCTAGGGAGCCCCTACTTCTTCATAACTTACTACCTAAGCTAGTGAGCTTTCCGAACTACTAATGTACCTCAATGAGAATCTATGCCTCTTGCAATGTTGTAACTCCCAATCAAGACGCCGCTTTCGATTTAACGAGTATCGACCGGCTACACGCGACTTTGAAGGCAACTCGGCCGCTACAGCAAACCCGATAATATTCAGAACAGTCTGATCACTCTCCACGAAGACGTTGAAGCAACTCCACCGAGCAGCGAGCGCAATAATCTCCTCTGTCTTGTGGTAGCCCTGGTTGTCCCCAGAAATAGCACTCAGAAAATCCTCAATTTCAGTAGGAGTTAGCGGTATCCCGCTCGGTCGTACGGTTCCCTCCTCACCCAACGGGCTATAGGAGGATAGGGAGGAGAATGAGGAGAAGGCTGAGGACGGCGACGACGACTACGAAGTGCAATAGTAATCAGAGTATGAGTAATCTTTCTCGCGCATGTAGGTCAACTTTGCGCATTCGCTCCACTGCCAACACCACCGTCATGACGGAATCAAATGGACCCTCGCAGTGCGGCCAGATCCGGAGAAGGTGAAATGCTTGCAACCGCACCCGATGATCGGCACAGAGGGTGGAGTTGAGGTGAAGAGCAGGGATTATGCCGAGGTCCAGGGTGACGCTGGGGCGGTCAGAAACACTAGCCATGAGGTCCTGTGTCTCAGCGAGCAAGGAGACGAAATCACTAGTGTAGGCGGCGCGGGCGGCATGATTGCTGCCTACTAGACAGATCTTGAGCCCTAGCATAAAGCTGTGTATGTGGTATATGAGGATATCCAGACCCTGTTGCTCTTGCGGGGTCAGGGAGCCAGAAGCGCGCGCATGGTAGTCCTCGAAGACCCATAACATCCGGCTGGATTGCGAGTAGAGTTGGGTTTGCTGCGGATGGAGCCGGTGATACCGGACGCCAATATCTGCGTCCGATAGATGCCAGCATTGGGGCAGGAATCGAGAAAGCGCGCTTGCGATGTAGTTGTATGCCTGCCGTCCTTCTTGCAGGCTACTAATATAGCCTTGACGCGCTAAGACAGTGTGCTCAAAGTCTAGTCCCTCATCAAGATGCACGCGCGGTGGCCGTCGAAGTCGAAGTGAGTGACTTCAATATCGAGGAAGGCAAAGACCGCGACAAGCATCTCTCAAATGGTAAGTTGTTCGCCGTAAATGGGTCCAGCTGGCATTTAAAGTGGGTAAGATCCTTGAGAATTCGCAGACCACTTTGCATATGTGTGAATGCCATCTCGTAATGGCCTTGAACCAGCTCGAGCATGGTATACAGCAAGCAAATGACTAGAGTGGTTTGCACACCTGCGGGTCTTGGGAGCTGCAGCGCTGTTGTAACAGGGCATATGAGCGCCCTAGTTGCTCGAGGGCAAAGAGTTGCAAGGCACCATGCGGCGCTACTCCGGGAGTAAGCTTTAAGACTTCCATAATTTCGGTATCCAGGTGCACGGCACTCAGGGCGATCATCGCATGATGAATAGCGGATTCCGCCGGGGCCATCTGCAAACGAGCCTTTTCCTGAGGGAAGAATCGAAAATCATCAAACTTGCAGGGATCTCGCGATTCTGAAAGTAGGAAAAGCATCTCGCCTTGTTCGATGTCATCACCCTGAGACGATTGTTGAGGATGGATGGTTGTAAGCGCGGTGGTGCAACGCCGATGGTCTTGCTTCCTATGGCGGAGGCAAACGACATGGTCAAAGCCATCGCAGGTGCGGCCGGTAGACGTGCATAGTTCGCAGGCCCCAGGAGCTTCGTCGCATTTGACTTTGCGGATACTGAGGAGTCGAGCAGGATTTCAGCGATTGTTCGCACGCAGTCGTGACTCGAGCTTACCGGCAAGTGCGACAGCCTGCTCGTGATCTCTTGGTCTTTGCTGTGCGCCGCTTGATGGCAGATGCTTCAGGCGTCTGGTTCAGTGAGGCAGGCATCTCTAACTCTGAGGGTCGAAGAGAAAATGAACTGAACATCGTCAGGAGTCTCTCCAGAGACAATTAGGAACAGACAAATTAATGAGCAGCTTGAGGCTAAGTCGGTTCGGCAGCGCCGGTCACGGCTAGACTCAGTGGAACGGGGGCTGTCACTGCCTAAGGATACGCTAAAAACTTCAGCCTTATTCGCACTGGTGAAGTCAATCAATAATGGTGAAAAGAACGACGATCACATTCAGGCCTCCCAGATATGTAGCTGAATTATACAGTGTTCTGTCCTTGGATGAAATCGTTCTTTGTTGGGGGTTGTTAGGATGCGATGATAAGACTTCGAATAGATTGGGTGGATTCTAATTCCCATACCCCGTGAGCTCCTTCCTCGTAGTTACTCAAAGCGTTGTGACTAATCTACAACTTTCAATGGAAACTAAATGTTCCGTCCTGGGTTGAAAAGAGAGAAGTATACATCATCAGGTTAAGCCACTTTACTTACATCGCATCCAGATCATCCGCCGAATCAAATCCGAGAATTAAACTTGAGGGATTCGATATAGATTCGCACCCCGTTCATCATGTTAGATGGCAAGCTGGAGGAATCGAGAAGGGCTTTTTCTACCCAAACGGATTTCCCACACATCCAGCGTCAAACTAGAATCTCTGAGAAGAAAACAAGGCAAAAAAAGTAGCTGCGCAACCAAGATCAATCTTTCATATCAGAAGATCACGCTGCCCGAGAAGATTCGTAAACTCATTAGAGAATGGTATGGACCAGTAGATCTTATGAACTGTCGTAGCTAAGGGATACATAGAGCCGCTGTGGCCATGAAGCCAAAGTATCTAAGTAATAGGTTAGTACGGGAAGTCAGTCCGCGGAGCTAACTTGAAGTGTGCAAGAAACTTACAATGAAGCGCATCGCCAGCCATCCTGGGAGCCCACGAGCTGGTCGGCTCCCGTGGACTGAGTCGACGCAACGGCGGCGGCGGCACCGCCTACAACAGCAACCACCAGAAGGCGACCAGCGTACTCAGCAATCATGCTGAACGCGAGCAATGGAAGGATGATGGCTGCAGAGGCAATGATGATTGCAGCATAGACCGCTCGGGCGGGTGAAGAAGATGAGATCAAGCGAGGGGTGAGAGAGATAAGGTCTTTATTATGGTCGAGAAATCGCGTCTCCGCAGCAACAATGGTGTTATTCTCGCTCATCCAGGTGCGGTAGGTGTCGATATCCTTGTTTGAGGCAGCGGGAAGAGCTTGCAGGACTCGACTGTATGCGCTGAGCGCGTTGTCTGGAGAAGGTATTAGTGTCACGGGTGGTTGGTGATACTGTTGCTCATCGGCACCTACTATATTGTTCGGTCTTATGGGCCAATGCACCCAGGAGCTCTTCCTTGCGATAGTGAAAGGAAGAGTATACTTGCGCCTGGACGTCCATGCGTCGCGAAGCTGGGACAATCGTGGTACCCTGCTGTTCGGCTGCGGCCGCCCGGTGCATTTGGTCGTACTCATCCAGAACACGAAGGTCTTCCTCCATCTGTGCAAGTTCATCCTGCAAATGCAAGAGCACTCGATGATTTAAATCTTCGAACCGGCGATAGAGCGGCGGAAGGGGAGGCTCCTGGTTGTCGGCAGTTGAACTCAGACGCCAAGCGAGAAGGCCATAGCCCGAGGGGGGCGATGATGTCTTCGTGCTACGGCTGCGCTTGTGATTGGATTCTTCAATGTCTTCCTCGGGACTCCGTGGCGGCGATGGTGGTAGAGGCGGCCGGTGTTGGCTGGCCGAATGGCGCGAGTAGAAGGCGTCTGGTCGAGGACTGAGCTCGAGGCTCTGTTTCTCAGGAGAACTGGGGCTTGTGAAAGTACCGGCGGGCATATCATGAGATTGCTTTTTCTGAGAATGGCTCTTTCTGGCCTTGTGTAGTGATGGTATACCAGACGCGATATCAAACGCTGTCGGCAGGGGTTGGGAATTCGCAGAATCCTTGGACATTGTAGACGATATCCGACTGCCTGTATCTGTGCCAAATGCAGACAGTTTATTCTTATGTCCTAGCCCTACATAGGCCGTCTTCGCTTGTCTGCTAGTCGACGAAGGAAGAGAGACTCGACATGATCTGATGTCCTCGGAGGAGTCGTCTTCTTCTGAGGTGGATTCATCTTCGTCAAGATACTCGAAAACGTTTGGAACGGTCCGCTCAGGTTCGACAGACTTGGCAGAAGTTTGCGTGCGGGGAATGTTCGCCATGCTTGGTACGCTGCTCTTTGAGGCGAAAGATGGATTCTGAGATGCTACCTGCGGTTGGTCGACAGACGCCCTTGACGCCTTTGAGGAACGAGAGGCAGCTGAGAAGATGGAACCCGAGGATGATTTACTGGAACCATTCCTCTTGGGTTTCTTAGAGCGACTGGACGAGCCATACAGCGGCATGTTGGAAGGACGTCAACACCGCCACAGAGAGCACCGAGTCAGAATTGGGAATAGTAGATGATAAGTCCTTTATCCTCGGGCCATACCCCTCGACAACGCAGCGAGAGAGCCGAGCCTGAACTGAGACAACTAGCAGGCTTGAAAATTGTTTAATCCTGATGGTGGGGGGAACAATGGAGGCATATCAAGGGAGGATCACTTGAGCGCCAGTCCGACGACGCGACGGGTGGAAGGGAACCTCGGAGAATGTAGCACAGAATGCGTAGGGAATCGAGAGTGTACTGCTTAGGGGAGAGGTTCCTGGATACTAGTAATCCTTTCTTATACTAATAACGATTAGCTCAATGATTGAAATCGGAGACGATCTTGATCGATTTTGTAGTTCTGTGGGTGATAGATTGAGCGAGAATTGGAGATATGTAGATGCAACGGAGTGGGCCGTCAGCGAGGCGTTCCAGACCCCAAATAAATGCGTCGGCGCCCTGTTCGCAGAAAGTGACAGGGAATCACTAGGACTGAGACAGATCTCAAACGCGTCGACCCCAGATTCTGGGATCAAATCAGACGGCACCGTGGGCAGTTGGTGGATGTCTGCGACAGTCGTGGCAGAGCTCTCATTCGTCCACCACAGCGGTTGCAGCCTGAGTGGGCGTCAGAAGAAAGAGAAATCTGTGTCTGTGAATGAGATGATATAGTAGGGTCCAAAGAGAGAAGAATAAGATAGAGAGCTGGCACAATATGAGAAAGAAAATGGGGTCAAAGGAAGAAGAGGAGAAAGTGGAAGAGGAAAAAAGAAAAATGGCAAGGTAATTTGGTGGGGAAGAAGAAGTTCATCATTTGCATTGCATTTCATATGGAACTACTCCATACTATGTATGTACGGCGCTCTCACTAACTACAGAGTCCTATACTTCTTCTGCTGCTGCTGCTGCTGCTGCTGCTGCGCTGGCTGATAGCGACTCGTTGCTGATCCTACTCTGATGATCATTGATCCCCTTCCTTCTGTCGTACAAGCGAAGATGTTGATGATGAGAGCGACGATGAAGTGTTGATGCAAAGCATCCAGTGTATTGGTGGGGTTTCAACTCGAATGCACTGCGAGGTTGACAATGCATTTGGAGAATGACTTGCAGCAAGGCGCTTCCCTCACATGCTCCTTTTTCTCCAGAAGTTCCGGTTCGTCGCAAATCGGATGTTGTGGATTGAAAGACTTGCTTCCAAGGAATGAATCTGCATTGTTGATTGAGCGGTGAGTTGTCCACCGCCGCTGGCCTTCCTTACCGTATCATACATACCCACTCCACTGTACGGAGTATTCTATCCTTCTTCCCAGTCCGCGAAACTCTCCATTCAAATCACCAACCACTAGCCACAGCTTGAAAGGTAGCTCCGCTTCTCATCTGCTTCGAAGCAGTACAGCTTCTCAATCCTTGCCTAGCGCCATGCTGCGACCCTGGATGCGCCAGGGATCGCGAGCGACTTGCTTATTCACCTGCCCGCGATGCCTTCATCTACTCCGCCGCTGGCCGCCACAACAGCTTCAACATTCACTACGTCCTTCCACCGCCCTCTCTTCTTCTCCACGATCCCTTCAGACCTCAACAACCTTTGAGTTATCGGATCGTGTTCCCCTGCGCAAGCAGCTCAAACAGGACGCCAAATCCCTCAAGGCGCGCAAACGACAGACTCGGGAGAATGAGGAAGCATCTCGTCAGAAATGGGAGTTGACGGTGGGCATTGAAATTCATGCGCAGCTAAACACCGAGGCCAAACTATTCTCCAGTGGGTGACTTGTCATTATGAGGACCTACACAGTCAACTGATTCTCGCCTCTGATAGGAGCGTCGACCTCCTCGACCGACCTTCCCAACTCCAATGTAGCTCTCTTCGATCTTGCCTTTCCAGGCAGTCAACCTGTTCGTTCCACACCTCTACTACGACCTTACCGCATCAATCCACTAACAGCTGGTGCTTGACCAGGAATTTCAAGCCGCTACCCTTATTCCCGCCCTGCGCGCCGCCATCGCCCTCGATTGCGACATCCAACGAGTGAGCAAATTCGATCGCAAGCACTATTTTTACCAAGATCAACCTGCCGGGTACCAGATTACGCAATACTATGGTGAGCCTACCATCCAAGCTGCGGCTGCTGTCCTAGCGGACTGATTTCCTGCAGAACCTTTAGCGAAGAACGGTCATGTGGATCTCTACCGTCACGACGGAATCGCCGCGGAGGATGGGGACCACGTGCGCATTGGCATCAAGCAGATTCAGATGGAGCAGGATACAGCAAAGTCTCAGGAATACCCTCCCTCAACACAATTGCTCGATTTTAACAGAGTCTCCCACCCACTTATCGAGATCATCACCATGCCTCAGATTCACACGCCGGCTACCGCGGCGGCCTGTGTGCGGAAAATCCAATCGATCCTGCAATCCTGTAATGCGGTTACGACTGGTATGGAGCAGGGTGGTCTGCGGGCGGATGTCAACGTTTCCATCCGTCAACGAGGCGATGTTGCCGGCGACCACCACTATGGCGGTATTGGAGGCTTGGGGCAGCGCACGGAGATCAAGAACCTCAGCAGTTTCAAAGCCGTCGAGGATGCTATCATCGCCGAGAAGAATCGTCAGATAGCTGTCCTGGAGAGCGGTGGCGTGGTGGAAGGTGAAACCCGTGGCTGGACCATCGGCAGCACTGAGACGCGCAGACTTCGTGGCAAGGAAGGAGAGGTGGATTACCGCTATATGCCGGATCCCGATCTGCCTCCCGTATACATAGGAGAGGATCTGATTTCAGAGCTACGCCGGACACTACCAACGAGCTCGGATGCGCTTCTCAGCCTGCTGACAGGGGCGGATTATGGGCTGACCGTTGAGGATGCGAAGCCACTCGTCGAGCTGGACGAAGGAGCTCGACTAGAGTACTACCAGGATGTTGTGGACCTTCTGCGCCAGCAACACCCAGAAACGGGCCCCAAGGCTCAGCAAGCACTGGCCCGGCTGGCGGGTAACTGGGTGCTGCACGAGCTGGGCGGTCTTCTGACTAAAGCTGACCTGGCTTGGGACTCACAACGAGTGCCCGCTGAAGCTTTGGCTTCGCTCCTTGACCAGCTGCAGCAGAAGCGCATCACCGGCCCCACAGCCAAACAAGTGCTATCTCTGGTATTTGAGGGCGATCAGCGCCCGATCCTGCAACTGTTGGAGGAAGAGAATTTGTTGCTGCGGCCTTTGTCGCGAGAGGAGTATATCACGCTGGCAGAAGCGGCTATTTCAATGAACCCATCGATGGTTGAGCAGATCCGACACAAGAATCAACTAGGCAAACTGGGATGGTTTGTCGGACAGATGATGCGAATGGGCGAGAAAGGGCGGGTCGAGGCGCCCAAGGCCGATGCGATCCTGCGGGAACTCATCCTGGACGGAACAAATTAGATGGATGCTGTATAGACGGTGTGTAGACGTTGTATAGAGGCTGTATAGACGCTGTATCGATGTTGTACGAGTAGATAGCAGGAGATAGCTAGAACCGAGCTGAACATGATGATACCCGTCGGGTTCGACCACAAACCATGATCTGTCCTTAATCCTTATCAGTAGTCAAGATTATTACTTGTCAGCCCGAGAATGACCGGAATCCGAAAACGATTGCTAATTAAAAAGGGGGTGTGTGGGTGAGTTGAGTGGAGTTGAAAGAAGCCGAGGCGGGCATCTCTCCTCGACCTGTACTTAGGGGAAGTCCTGATCCCTAAAAGCAGGTCTTAGCGATCGCGATGCCCCACGGCCGCCGTGCCTCCCGGTTTTATAAACTGCCCCTGCACCCGGGCATTCTGTGACTTTTCTCATCTGCATCTTACCTTGTACGCCTCTGAGCTTTTCATCTGCACTTCCTCTCTCACCATCGTCCCTCTGTTCAGCAAGTGCAAGTGGTTGTTGTTGTTGCTGTGGTGATTGTTGTGATCCGCCTGTTCCTTGCCCGGCTCCAGTTAATCCCCACCTGATTCTTTGATTTTGATCTTATCTCATCAGCGCGGGTCCCGCTCTTCTAGAACTTTTTCTTTCTTCTTTTCACACGCTCTCCCTCCCTCTCTGTCTCTCTCTCTCTCGTTCCTACCACTCTTACCTTTTCTCTTCCACTTCATATACACAATGACTTCCCCTTCCACTATTCCTCAGCGTTTCCTCTCCAAGCCCAACCAACTGGGCGTAGTCGCCGTTGGCTTCAATGGCGGTCAGGTACATTGCCCCC